TCTTGTTGCACATTCATCCAACGGGAAAGGATGCAGCGACATGATAATGCAGTGGAGCAATACGCGCCTGAGTCGGATTTGCAATTTCACAGATCCTTCACTCACCGTCAACTTGGTAGCCGTCTCAATATCATGGCGGTTCATCCATCTATGCGGCCTTCCAGTCACCAGTCCTTCCCTTCTCTCCTCCGGGTTAACAGGAAGTCAGTCTTCAAGATCAGTACAGCCCATTCTGACATTTGTGACGACTTGGGGAGTTAAAAATCATCATTTCCTCCTCAATGATATTAGATTACTATCTCCATTGACAAGGAGAGTGACAAATAGATTACCAACCACTTTGAACTTGACTTCTTTCCTTATGCTTTACAGGGCGAAAAGGAGAGACGACTGCCTGCCAATTGCATACGTACATCAAAACCTTGTTGTTGGAAGTACAAAAAACCACCCTGTAGAGACTGAGTACCAAAGAACAAAGACGGCAATGAAAGTGCTGGCACCGACAACCACTTAAAGAAGTTTGTCGGGACGACTGTCACAGGAAACCAACTTATGCGAATGAAGGAATGGCCACCGACGTCGACCAAGCACCAGGAGCGAGGGTGGAAGAATATTGAGTGCGAGGAAGAGGAGGTAGGCGAGTGGGTAGCCGAGGATGTCAGTAAGAGCAGCAGCTCCCAGGGCAGCGAAGAGGAGTTTGCCCAGCACCTCGGCGGTGGAGAGGATGGTGTAATGAGTAGCGCGCGCACCCTCCACAACCTCGCTTCGCGTGCATTCCATCATGAGGGTGAAGACGATGGTGGTGATGGCTCCACTCACTACCAGCGTTGCATTCATCAGCGCCACGCCTGTAGCCAAACAAAAATGTTCCAACTTACACTACGTGAGTCCACTTCTCTATTGACAGCATCTGACCATCCCACATTCCGCTCGACTTCATCGTTCAAAGCAGTACAACAGCAAATAACTTTTGGCTGTTGTCTCCTCTTCTCATTTTTGCTTTCCATTATGGGGGAGAAACTTGATCCCACAGAATTTTGATCAAATGCGGTGACTACTGCATCAGAAAATGCCAAACGCTGAGTACAAACTGCGCGTAAATTTCAAGACGACTGGAGACAGTGAAGAAAAAAATGAACGTCAGGCTCAAATAAAGCCTGTCCTCCTCGTTTAACTCGTCTGAACTTCCCAAGGGTGCGAAGGCAGAGGTGGACGAGGGAAATCTACCAAACCTGTTACACTCTATCCCCACCAGAGGCAGACACGACATCCACACTAATGCAACTCAGGGCGCCTTATACAGGAGTGGTTAACATCGCCCGATGAAGCTCATTCTACCGCCTATTCCCCATTCAAGAACGAACGGTATACCGCAGAAATATCGTTACACTTAATTTAGATTATTAGAAGAGTGACAAGCCAACTCAGCACTAGCCATGAGGAATTTCGGCGAATAAGAGAAGTAGACAAGTTGAAAATAAGGCAAGGGAATAAGATCACTTACCAAACCAGTGACTGACAAAGTTGATGGAGAACGCAAAAGCGGTGAGCAGTGAAATGACCACGATACGACAGAGGAAGAGGAATTGAAGACTATCCACCGTATTCCTAAATTGCAACAATAAAAGATCGAGACAATGTGGCCAATTGCCTCCCTAAAAAGTGGGCAAAATGACACTGCATGCATCAGTTAGTCGGTCTTTTAGAGCATTCCTGGAAAAATGATGATAGTTAACCAACATGTCTTGCATGTTGAAGTAACGATCCATGTAGTGTACTATTCTTGCCCAGACATCCAAGTTAGCTGTAAATTCAACTTCAAATAAGCTCTCATTTCCATCCCATTTTCAGTTTCCAATCGACTATTCGGCACCATGACTAGGCATTCGTTAACATCAGGAGGAATATCAGGGTCTGATGGTGGAAGAATGTGATAGTTATTGGTGCATGCAAGACGTAGTTGCTAAGCTTTCGCTGTCACACAATGTAGGTGTAGACTAAATGTCTGAGTCTTCACGTCAATCATTACCGAACGCTGCTCTTATCAGTAGCAGCGCATACGCCTTCACTACGATCGAGATAAGAGAGTTTTCTTTAATACCGAGTAGCCATCAAAACCACTCAAGCTGTTTGAAATAGTTCTGGGTCATGTATTTCACTTCTCCACTATCGTCAAATGGCATACGACAATATCGATGGAGAGTCAATCCCTGCAGTTGTGGAAGAGAAGTAAACTGGTGCTGTGCAGCAAAGATCCAATCACATCGACGAGATTTTAGAGACATTTGAAGATGTAAGGGTTCAAAGAATAAAGGATGGTCAAATAGTGTAACGTCAATGGTGGACCCTTATTTATGATTCGTAAAGCATGTATAAACAATTCTGTAGATTTTGCGAGTTTCCAAAGGTCACTCCAAATAAATATGCCGAATACTACATTATCATTAGCAAGTGCTTTGAATAGTGTGATGACCAAGAAGTTCCTCACAAAAAACAAGGGGAACGAAAGGTGTAAGACAACTTCATGGCTACTGAAAACGACCAAAAATTAGGTTTCATAGCAAACTATAGCAATGCCTCCCATTTACTGAACGTACATACTCTGCATTAAAACAGGCTCTGCAATCTGATAATGAATTGGGTGAGGACGAGGTGTTAATAGAGCGACTTGACATTTCTTTGGATGTATGTTTACCTATACGAAATTGCACACCTCAACTGGTGTATTTCTGCCTGACGGCACAGTTCCCCACCTATACCTCTAGCCCCCCTGTTCACATAGGTGATAAAAATAAATCGTCTTTCACGTCGGCATTGTTCTATCACAACTTCAAAGGAGACTTGGGCAACCAAATTAGTGCCAGTGCTAAGTGAATCTGATTTAAATGAGAAACAATCCTGCTCGCGACGTCTACACCCTCCAAAAGAAGGGAATCTGGCAACTCACTGCAGAGGCATTAGAATTAAGTCTACTTCTAGCACCTCACTATACAAAAGAACCACTGGTCTCAAGGAATATATCACCACATTGCCACGAATGAAACTGCATGTGTCGCGATTTGACATACAGGAGGCCACAAGGAATCGTGATTGCTTAAATAAGCCTTCGACGGAAAAGTTTCCAATTGGCTAGTGTACCCCTTTCGATGAAAAATAAACCTAGGTTTGGAAAGCTGTTCAAATTCAACTTACAATGGTGTCTATACGCAAATCAATGCTTAAAGAATTCTGGCTGCAGGAAAATAAGGCAAAATATTTAGACTTTAAGCCATTTACCTCGTCGCAGTTACTACTGGTGTAATACAATTGGCATGTTTTCTCGGACAGTTTATGACTACTATGGCTTGTCCTAAATCGCATCGTAGACGCAGTATATCATCTCAATTTCAGCGCACCAAAAGAGATGTAGTAGGGCGCTTGAATTATAGGCAAGTGCACTTTTTGAAGCTCTAAAACATAACTTTAAATAAAGTGAATCTCTCAGTATCGCGGTGGCAAATATGTGAAGGATAAACTATTGCTAGTGCTCGGTTAAAGCCGTCCGTCCTTGATGGCAACAAGCCTAGGAAAGGAGCTCATTCATCATGAATGACTACTCCTCCACTGAGACTGATAAAATGGTCAGCTGATAATACCAAGAAAGCTTATGAAAGTTACGATTTCCTCTTTGGTGATTAACCAATGAGGTACCATCCAACCACCACCTAGCGAGCAGTCAGCTAGAATGCTGAATCAGACCCCGTGTTTAGCAGTGTGCGGTTAGTGGAAGGATCACGTCGGGAGAAACACTTCGCTTCCCACAAAAGAAGGATAGATATCAATTAACGCTCAAAATGTGCTTCTAGTAAAAGTAAGAATGAAGCCATTTTAAAGCAGAGAGGAGCGATGATTTGTGACGCAAAGGCCATCATATTTCCCCATTTGCATCAGTAATCCTGGCTGCAAGGCGGGTATGGTAATCTCCTTAATTTATCCAAGAAATTAATGAATTCACTCCATAAGACTTGGAATATCTGTCCCATAAGTTGATTTGAAAGTAAAACGTTCAAATGAAAGTCAGTCAACGAAAAGCAAACAAATTAGTGAAGGCAGGTGATTTTGGAAAGGTAATTTTAGTTGCCCAAATTCTAGGATTAGTAAACATGATTTAAAATGGAGAAAAAATAGAATCTCTTGTACGTTGGCCACTAATATCGTACCTACATATCACCTCAATTTTTCACCTCAGCCTCGGTGACACAAATATGTGACACGTGTTCCTTACTCGGTTATGATAACCGATTGCACAAAATCGTGCCAAAACAGACTGACTGACATTAAAATGGGATGAACGATGTACCATGTCCGTGAATAACTGCATTTGTAGTTGACCAGTTCGTTGATGAAAGAATTTGTATCATGTATTGTAACAATGGAACACATTGAGTTCGCCGATTTTCCCCTGAGACCCTGTCAGCTAATGTTTTTAAAGTACAACTTCACTACGATATCTTTTCCTAACATAGAAGTCCTCAACAATGTTAAAATTTTTTCGTCAAACCACATTAAAGTGGGAGTTACCCAGTGCTAACAACTCGAACTCCGAAGACGAAATGAAAGTGAGTGGGAAATTCATTCGTTTTTTATCATAACGGCAGTAAGTGAGAAAAGGGTTTACTACCACCAGAGCTAACACACTTGAAAGCCGGCGCCCTGCAATTTTATTTATTCTAGTCTTATCCTCTTACTTCAAAAGGAAATTTGGTAAGTTGTTTATTTAAAGTAAACACGCCATTTACTGCATGCAAATATCAAGTTGATGAAACATTTTTATAGAAATGAGTGGAAGATTTATTAGGATAAAATAAGCGTTGTCAGACGGGTGGAACACATGAATCCACGAGGCGCTTCTTGAGATCAAAGTGGTGTACGTAAATCAACACTAATAAAGCGAGCGGAAGCGGTATATTTACTTTCAAATGTTTTTTTTTGAGAAAACCAAAAATAATCAACTTAAACATGACATGAGATTTCTCGAATCATCGACATATGCTGCGATATGGCAAAGTAGGTTGGTACATTTCTCGGTGCAGATCAATCCACTTATGCAATGCCCCCTATTCTGGTATCTTCTGTTTCCCACAGACTTTGAACTCAGCCGCGCATCATAAAATTCCTATTAAATTCTGTGGATGGGACTCAAGCTTGTCTGTTTTACGAGCAGAATCCAACGACCTTTTAAGGCTGAAAAATTGGCAATAGGGGATTCGGAGAAGGATAAAATTGTTGATGGTGACTCAACTAGCATTAAATTGAGGGAAACCTATTCTTAAAAATGCTAAGGGAGTACAAGTTGCTATTGGTTAAAAGATGTCAAGATCACACCTATATCGATCAACAACAAAGTGGTGGTGATAGTTTGACAGATGGATTACGCACTGATAACGTTTGACAAAAGGTAGGAAAGACTATAAAGTTATTGAGGTTTTCTGTTGACTAATAGACCAATTAGTCTTTATGCGCATTCCAACCTTACTCCAACACATCAATGGTTACATTTCAGCAGTCCACCTACCATCCATTCGCGCGCCTAAGGAGCACCCCACCATAGCAGGCTTATTGTGAGCATAGGATTTGATGATCTGATAGTCCGGTATAATTTTTTTACTCAACTTTGGCTAATATCTGGTTAATACATCTCCAACGCATGTAGGAAAATCTTTTTCGACGACACTTAGAGTGGACAAATCAATTAACAGGACCGCAGACCGCAAAACCCACTCAGGAGAAGACATTTTGTGGAAGAGGTGAGAGATACTGCCACACCCCACCCTCCGCATCTCTCTCATAATATTTTTCTCATTCGCAAGTGACCAAGTAGATAATCGTCCAGAAATAGAAGTGAGATAAGGACACAGGTGGCCAAAGCAAGGTTATTTTCGTCTTTGGAAATAAAGTACTTTATAGGTAAAAATTCCAGTTACCTTGTGACCCTCTGGGAAAAAGTGCTAGATTGTCCTGGTGAGCATTTCAAAGCATGGAGAGTTGTAAGTAGCTTTCTGCAGTAACCTGATTTTTTTATAAAAACTGCACGGGATCAAATTGAGCTGCGTTGCATTTGAAAAGGTTGGCAAATTAAAGAGAAACCACTCTAAAGCCCTAATCTTCGAAAAAAATTTCAATTTTCTTCACTTTTGAGATCAGAAAAAAAGAACAAACAAACTTCCAATCCAAACAAGTAGATCGCTTTTGTCAAATATTCCAAAAAATACATCTCCCACGGCTGAAAGAACCTTCGGGTCAAACCAAAAAACCCCTTCGAATTACAGAAACCAATGGAATACTTAAACCAAAAGTAAATCAAACTAAGTTTGGCTGTTAAAAAGGACGAATTTTGCGTTAAAAAAATCAAACATGAAATATTACTATCCTATGGTGAAAACTAGGCACTTCTACAAGCGATATTGGCACATGAAAATGGGGTGTAGGGGAGAAGAATATCCTGCTTAATTTAAAACAAAAGACCAATATTTTTCCGAACAGGTACCCACCTTTTCATTCGATTAACATCGGATAAATTAAACCTATACCTCGTGGAGACAATACAATACCTTTAAAACAAGGACGTTTCGCCAGTACCTAAGCCGGCCTAGGCATTCAGTAATGGTCACTACAAACGTACAAAAATAGTCGCTACTTGGCATCATACAGTAGGGAGTGAAAAATTACCCAAAACGACTTGCTATGACAGAGGCAGAGGACGAGCCAACAATGGAGAATGCCTGGCCGACTGCACCAGTCCAAAAACCCACAACGGCCATCGGCATGCCATGGTCGAGGAGCATCAATGGCAACATATTCATGGCCCCCATTTCACCCAATTTGTAAGACAGTAAGAGGACGATAAGTCCCGGGGTGGAGGGTGAATCGAAAAGGGCCGTTTGTAGTACCTCACTGTAGCTTTGCTTGTCCTCTCTCTTACGATCTAACCAGTGGCGAATGAAACAAATCTTTAGAAGCAATAGGGACGGGATCAGATTGACCTAGGTGGGAAATCGTTAAACGACTTTGAAGAATACGCGATTATGTCAATGTATCTAAGAAAACAAGTAGTTTGATAATAGTATAGTGTTAAGGAATTTCAACAGGCTATGTGCTCCACAATTTATTAATATTCATGGTAGATCTTTTCAGTTTTTGCTTCACTGATTTCGTATGAAAAAAATAGTAAAAATGTAATAAATGCTTCTAATAACCTTATTAAAAAAGTTGTCATTGCCCGGAGGCCTTCACGAATCTTTAGGAAACCAGACATGCGATTGCTCGAGCAAAAACAATATTCGGATTTGCCTCATTATTCTCTATTTAAAAAGTTATTAATTTTCGGCAATATACAAGCTCGGTGAACCCTAACTAACGAGCAGGCAAATCGTCAGCACGAAGAACTGGCGTGAGGAAACAATTTACTCTAAGTAATTAACATTAATAGAGGGCTAAGAACTTTTAAAGAAGTGATGTACAGAAACATTAGTAAGTTATATTTAAGGCAAAAGTTGTGAAAATTTCTATCTGTTACTTAGTTTTAATTAAATATATTCAGGATCAAATAAGCTCATTTTGTGGTAAAAAGAAAAAAACGGAACAGAATTCGACTTTTTTTTCTAAGTGAGAATATTGGTGTTACCAATCCTGCCCTGGACCAGTAAGATGATCATTCATTACAAGTCTGCAAATAGATGAGGCACTGCTCAGTATTCAATCATGAAAACGCACATTCCAGTTTAAAGAACGTGCGCAAGGCATGTAAATAATGTGCGTACAGAGGACAGAAAATGCTGTTCCCTACAAACGAATCTCGTACCCTTATCACCAGTGGTATTTTGGACCCTCTCAGGTTCATCGAATCTTTTATAATAGGTTGCAACCCACAGCCCCAAGGCATAGAATCCACAGAGAGCAGCAAACACCACCGTCGAAGAAAAGAACGAAAAGAGCAATCCACCACCTACTATGGCACCAAATTTGTATCCCACCACCTGAGCTGTGTTGCCACGAGAGAGTTCAGAATGACTGAGCATACCTGTAATAGAAGAATGCCTTTAAGCATTTTGGTTTATACTGTGCATCCTTTTAGTCTCTTACGCAAATGGTCATTCATTCTTAGATTAGTAGACCACAGCTATTCTGTACATTGAAAATAAATCTACATTTTAGACTAACAAGCAAGATTACTTCCTTGAGGATAGCTGGGGGCCCTACGTACCAATAGCAAGTGAGTCCACAGCAATATCAAGAGTGGCCGCGCAGAAATTGAAAATGAGAAGGCAGAAGGGTAAAATTCGAGTAGAGGAAACCAATTGTGCAGCGGAAAAAGTGGAAAGAAATGAGCTGCAGAGAAGGAGCCCAGTAATGCACAACTGGAGCCAACGACGTCGCGTGCCGTGACTGTCGACAAAGGGAGCGTAGGCGCTTTTAAAAACCCAAGGGAGGTAGAGGAGCTTGTAGAAACCAAGAGAAGTAAGAGAGGAACCATGCGAACGAAGAATGAGCGGTAGGAATCGCGATTGGAGTCCGTAGGGAAGGCCTTGTAGTGAATAGAAGAAGAAGAGTGCAATGAGGTGTGATGAAGACTAAAAATGGATTAAAATTCATGAGGTAATAAAGACCTAATCAACAAATGACTGACAAATTACCGGATACATCGTAAAAGGGAATTTCCACAAAATTTCACAACAGGTTAGATCAGCGGCATTAAAATGAACACATAGTGTGCATACAATGTCTTTCATCAACCCTATGGTAAGATACTTTAAAAATATGTATCATAATGACACAATATCGATCCCCAAAAATAAAGGTGTAAACTCACTAACTGGTAAGTCATGCTACAAACAGGCTAGTTCACCTCATTCAAGAATGTGGTGTGAGCGAAAAGGTTATGCAAGGCAAAGTGTGGGCTGATATTAGTGGTCAGACAGCGTTAAACAAGATCAAAATCAATTTTTTAATAACCACACTGATGCAGTATTAAGAATAATTGTGGTTTCCAACAACAGTAAATTTTTCGAGCGCTTAGATTAAAAGTTTACCCAAAAACACTTTAACTTTCACATATCTCAATAATCTGTAACAATACCTAATAGAGGATCCATTAACACTGATACAAGGCACGACGTTATCGTGTTATTTGAACTGGAGCCCTTTTGCTTGAATTTTTTCCACTATTCAGTGCAAAATCAAAGCTACACCACCCACAAAGTGGCAGCGCTAAGTTAAATCAGGTCTAAAATTACAAAGATTTAATAAATTATGAAGGAACACAGGGAATTACAAATCCTAAAAAAGTGAGACACGATGGCAGTATCGTGTACATTAACATTGGCTTATTAATCGAAGTGAGTACCTAGCCGAAACGTGGGGAACGAAATTGTTTTATCTTGTTTCTAGATGAACTCGCTAGATGCTAATTAGCTGGTTAAATAGATTTTACAGTTTGGTGCATTGGAATGTGATGGTCGTTGATTTACTCCCGACTTTTTAAAGGGGCCGCTTAGGTGGACTGCCATTGTACCTACTCCGGATGAGCTCTCCTTCAGGGAAGTCTCGGTGAGCCAGAATCTAATCGGGACTTTAAATGTTCATCTCAGCATGCAGCTGATTAACTTCTCCTTAAAGTAAACAAGAAGAAATCTAGCTTTATCCCACGTAATTACCCAAATTCGTTAGTTTATGATAAAAAAAACCAAAAAAACTTGTAGTAGGAACAAGTTTTTTGTGAATAAATATAAGAAGAAAGCTTGCCAAAGAAGCTTACGTAATCTTTGCCGTTGAGGTTAGATGAATGGGGTACTCTCTGAGCAACATTTTATTACTCTAATCATCCACTAGCACAAACTATGGTATTTTTCTAGTAAGGCAAAAGTCGATCAACAATTTCACATCTATTATTTATTTCTCCCCATGGGACATAAACATAGCATATACCAATGCACTGTGTTTCGTGCGATTGTCTAGTGTCGCCACTTGGAAGGACTCAAAGAAGTATGGAGTGAAGAATACAGAGAATGAGGTGAAGCGATATCAAATTCGTCCCTGAGGTCCTTACCTGCTGGCCACTTCTCAGCTGAAAGGTACAGTCAAGTCAACAGGTATGGCAGTACCGTCCCCTTTTCACTTATTACATTACGTGGATGAATTTAGCCAGAGGTGATTTGTCAAAAAACGCACTAAAATTAGCGAAACAATTTAGATTTGATAAGAACAAACACCACCGGTGGGGTGAGAAAGTATAATTGCTAGATTGCTAGATTTACGTACAAGTGGTTCATTTCATAAATAAGATTACAAAGTTTGCCAACAAATAGCATTCTAATAATTAAATTGGCCCTTTAATTAACAGGGAAAACAACAAAATTTACTTTTTGACCAAAGACGGAAAGTATTGAGGGAAGCATGAGCTATCGCGAGTGGCAGTACAGTCGGTGAAGTTGCGAACTCCGCAATCTGCATAAGGTGGCAAAAGGCTTTTCAGTTCTTATTTCTTGTTGAAATATTTTTGACTATTTATAAACGCTGTTAAGTGTACGGTAAAGATAAGC